CTGACATTGCCGCTCTCAAGGCTCGCGCCGCCGAGACTCAGGCTTCTCAGCAATTCAGCGTCCCTCGCGAGAGCCACCCTATCAAGGAGGGCCGCGAGCCCGTCGAGGACTATGAGGTAAGTTGCGGCATGTGCATCTCGCATAAGGGCAAGGAACTCACATTGCGCCTACTCTTCTTTCACGCAGGGCAACTACCGCTTCGCCGACATCAAGGAGAGCTACACCAGCCGTGCCATGACTTCCAGGTGAGAAGGCGAGAGGCTCGCCATGATTGCCCTGGTCTTGCGAAGGATTGATGCTCAATGCGATGTCTGCACGAAATGTGCCTGTTTTCACGTATCAGGTACATGGAGAGCATGATGCGCTCTGCCGTGTCCGACGTCGTCATCATTGGCGCTGGATCTGCTGGTCTCACCTGCGCTTACCACCTCGGCAAGTCTCGTCCCGACTTGCGCATCACCGTCCTCGAAGCCGCGGTTGCTCCCGGAGGTGGCGCTTGGCTTGGCGGCCAGGTGAGTCGACACGCGTCCTCGTTGACTTGGGCCAAATTGAGCATGGAAGCTGATGTACTCCCCTCTTGCTGGCTCTTCTTCTAGCTCATGACTCCTATGGTCATCCGCAAGCCCGCTGATGGCCTCCTGCGCGAGATTGGTGTTCCTTACGAGGACGAGGGTGCATACGTCGTCGTCAGACACGCTGCGCAATTCACCTCCACCATCCTGTCCAAGGCCTTGGCGTTGCCCAACGTGACCCTCTTCAACGCCACCTGCGTCGAGGACCTCATCATCAAGCGTGACCAGAGCGGTACGCAACGTGTCAACGGTGTCGTCACCAACTGGACCCTCGTCACCCTTGCTCATGGTCTGCAGAGCTGCATGGACCCTCAGAGCATCACCGCACCCGTGGTCGTCTCTTGCGCTGGCCACGATGGTCCTTTCGGAGCCTTTAGCGTCAAGCGTCTCGAGAGCGCCGGTCTCATCAAGCTCGGCGACATGCGCCCTCTCGACATGAACCAGTCGGAGAACGTCATTGTCAACCAGACCCGTGAGATCTTTGCCGGTCTCATCACCGGTGGTATGGAGCTCAGCGAGGCTGATGGTCACCCTGTGAGTCCAACATGATCTGGTCAGCTTCTCGATATTGCGATTCGGCTCTTTTTGCTTACGAAGACTCGCGTCTGTCCTCTTGCTCGTC